ATCGCTTAGAATCTGTATGTCTTATATTGCATACGTTGAAAGACGACATGTTCGACAGTTTTACTGTTAGCTAAGATGTTTCAAGTTAACCGAGCTCGCTTAATGTGAATGATGAAGTAAAACTGTATGTTGGCTCCTTTGACCTCTAATTGGCAGAAGTGCATGTTGACCACCGTATTTCCTTCATTTACCCATTTCATATTTTTTTATTAAAAGCATATGAAGCACTTTAGATCTTTAGCTTGTAATCGATATTTACCAAGTTAACCCACTAAGTAGATGTCAGTCGTTACTATGCTATTATGCAATACTCCCTATCTTCTAAATACACCACCTTTTATGGCATTCCTTTAATAAAAACATAATTAAATTACACCCAACATCATTATGCAGGTTTTTCTTAGCATCACATTTATCAATGTGTGACTTCATGTCTATTAATAAAGCGAATTTGCATTGTTGTGACTATCAAAAGTCAGAGTAATTTATTATCTCTTTTGGTGCACCTTTGTAGTACGGTTTATTTACTTGTTGGCAAGTTATTTTAGGCCAAGTAGTAAATACTAGTTATTCCGTTGTTCCACTGTATCCAAAATTCCTTGATCGATCTATTTTGATCCGCATTTGGTCTTACCACCGCGAAGAAAGGAGCACCGAAAGTTGCAGGTTTGTCACAGTTAGAGTGCACAACCTCTTCAATTTTGGGTAGCTCATCGTTGTGAGCAGTTGGTTGCTTCATCATTAATTAATCATCTTCTTTGTTTAGACTTTATGATCTTGAATTCGTTTTTCTTTTACCTTGTAGGTCATCACAGTGCCCGTACGAACCAATCAAATTCCTCGTCAAGTGCCTCCACAGCCCTGCTATATTCGTACTCTTCCTTCAATGCTACTCTCGGGTCTTCTGCCCTTCGGTTGCATTTTCATTCAACTCTTCTTCATTTTCAACAGTATTTGGGGAGAGCAGTTATTCTTCATGTTCGGTTTCCTATTCCTGGTGTTTGTGTTTTTCCTTGTCTGTATAGTGGAGACAAATATTCTCAGTTGCTACTACCAGCTCTGCTCTGAGGTTAGTCAGCTGATTCATTTTCTATGTTAACTGTCCCCCCCCTTTTCCATGTGGAACAGATATTCTACCACATCGATCACATCACCCACCCACACTACCACCTGATGTTTACCAATGAGTATTGATTGCACAACCATTGCGCTAACGGCACACATGGCTTTCCATTAGAAAACGCCTTTATTCGAGGGTCATTTATAGTTTTATGCACTTGTTTAGAGAAGACATTTTAATGCGTCCTTTTATTGCTGTGAGTGAGTGAATGAGCCCGTAAGGTGAAGTGAGGATCCGGAATAGATCACTCAACTTATAGGCAGCTGGGAAGCTACGAGATTTTCAAGCAAAATATTAAGACTGGGCATATTGTGTTTGTGTGCATGTTCACTAACAACTGTGGGCACATATCTGCCTCCTTAGTAAATTACTGCTATTGAAAGTTGTCATGGACTTATTGTCATGTTAGCATTTTACCGTTCCTATCGTGTATGATTCTCGCGTCGCTTGAGGGCGAGTATTTTCCAACAATCGTCTTTTGCCAAGCAATTCCTTTTGATTCCCCCCCTTTTTCTTCTGTTTACGTTGTGGTCTTTGTTTAAATTCTAACTTCTTCGCTCTATTCCTATCTCCAGTTCGAAACGCTCCTTTTTATCAAGTATGGACTTGGTCTAACGACTGTATTTCTTCTAGGATTATCGATGGTGGTGGCGTTCCTTCCTCTCTGGAGGATCTACTGCGATCTACGTGTTC